AGAACTAGGACTTCTTTTTGTTATCTATACTGTAAACCTTTACACATCCCCTTCAACAGATATACCCAACTTACCTTGCCATGGATGGAGGCCATTTTAGCGCCAGGAGGACAGTAGCAGCAGCATCACACAGGGCAGGTGTATGCAGGGGCGGTTCAAGGATTAGAGGACTCTGGGGGCAGAGCCCGGACCTCTGCTGGGGGGGTCTGGGGATCCTCCCCGGCACTTTATTTTTTTTATTTAAACGAGCTCTTTTTGGATATTTTTTAATGCACTCTGGTGTCTTATTTATCGTAAAAGCACAAAAAGTAGCAATAAAAGCATCAGCATGAATTATTTTATTGTCATTGTGACTTAGAAAATGGTTGAGGGAGCACCCGACACCCTATCAGCCCGCAGGCTTTAAGTGGAGTAAATTGTACATACTGTAAAACTTCAATTAATAGCCTAGTCACTGAACTCAACAGGCTTATATTTAGGACAGGCCTGTAATTCCTTTTAAACAAAACTGTTCCTCAGCAAAAATGGGAAATACAATCAAATTGTTTATATAAACCAGTATGAATGTTACTTGTATAAAAATTAGGCTTCAAATAACATATCAGTTATGAATCATTCTGTTGATCTAGCTCCTATCTTGTTTACCATGCGGGTAAATCTGAATAAATTACGATCTTCTTTGGTGCTCATGGTTACATTTGTATGTGTGATCGAAGCAGCTAACTAACATTAGCTCAAGTAGGTAGCCAACAACCCAGTTTTATACATCCAAGAACTTCTATAGAAATTGACTTCTTGGCAACCACACCAGGCATTGCCACACTGGGCTAGTAAATGGGACTGGTTTAATTAGGACTAGGCTTTTTTAGTTGCATTTTTTTCTATTTTATATTGATGTTTTGTCTATGCATCAAAACAAACAAATCCAGGCTTACACATAATGTAGGTGGGTGTGGCTACTTTGAGTGACGGGCTGTCTGCAGGTAGTGTCCTTAGGTTTTCAATCAGATCCACCCCTCACTCCTCCACAGCACCAGTCTCTCGTCCAAATATGGTCACTTCTGGCTAAAAAAAAAACATGATGGCGACAGCTGAAATGCCAAACTCAAGGCTTCAGATTGGGAGTCCACAAACCAGTGGGTGACTTGGCAAACTTGGCAAAGATTCTAATAGATTTGCCACCCGTCTCTGCCCATATGATCACATCGATATTGTTTTAAGACAGACTGAAAAACGTGTATCCTTTAATCTAATTGATTAAATATCCACAAACAGCTTTGCAGCAGTATACCCATCAGTCTGCATGACATCACACCCTTGTCCTTTCATGGATCCATAACCGTACACGCCTTCACCGTGTGGTGTCTCTCAGGTTATCCTCATCCATCAATCTGTCTGATCGAGGCTCGTCTCCATCGGGGCAACTGCCTTGTGTAATCGTGCCTAAGTGGAAAAACAGCAGCTCTCTGTTAATCACAATACAGCAGCGGGCAGACACCTCCTGCCAGGCCTCTGACAGGTATCCATTTACTCTGGAAGTCACCTCAAACGGCCCCATGCAGCAGCGAAATGACTTCTCCCCATTTCGCCAAGCTAAAAGACTACGCCGTGACACCAAGTGTAATTCAACAAAATATCTTTAATAGATATAAACTTTTTTTTTTACACATCACAGCTCAATGGAAACAGAATCACATGCTGTCACACATGTTAAGAATGAAGGTGCAGGGGCGATCTGCTGTGCTGGGGGTGGGGCGGGGGGTCGTTTGGGACTCAATCGTCTGAGTCACTCTTGTGGTCTTTGTCCTGTCTAATGTCTCCCCTCTTTATCTTTCACATTACTCCTTTCACTCTCCACTATAACCAAGCCAATAAAGCAGAAATACATCAAAAAAACATAATCTTAAAAAATAAGAATGAAGGTGCAAATTCTGATTAATATCAAATTCTCCGTATATACAGTTGCACAGTATCTGAGTACAAAAGGAAACAGGTGTGAGGCTTAAATAAGGACTCCGTGTGGTCAGCTACAGAACGAATTCAGGTCGAGCTTACAGGCAGATTTACACACTACAGGAAGTCTGTAGCTGGAGTTTCAGGGTTTTCACATCTCACTCATATATTTAATAGTACCGATTGAGTCTATGGAGAGATTTAAGGATCAGATTGAGGCCTTTTGGCATGCAATGGAAGAAGGAGGGGGTCGGTTCCATGTAGCGTTTTACATGTTGTCAACACTGGGTGGTGCTGTCGATCAATCCACTGCAGCAGGCTAGGCTGGAAATAAATTTTAAAGACTTAGCTTTTTGGATAAAAGTTCTCCCGTTGAAAACTCTGTCAAGATTTAAAGCATATTTATATATTTTTCTCTCATATAGAAGTACATGCAGATCTCTAACTGCATATTTATTTTCTTGGCCATTATCTTTGTCATAAATACTCTTTACATATACCAAGGGCAGAGGTGAGAAAATAAATGTTAACATCGTATATTTACAATAATCTGAATAAGCGACACTGAACCGTCAATCTATATCTTTACGGCACCCATATTGTTCTGTGATTTTATAGTATATACTCTTTTTATATCAGCTTGTGACCAGTAGTCCTCTATACAAGTCGCACTTGCTTTTAACCCTCTAAAGTTATTTGATACATGTGTTATTACATAGGCAATACAGACTTGACCTTACAGTGTTTATGTGCTACATGGAGGTCTGTCCGTGTGTTTGTCTGTATCTACCTACACACACTGCTACCAAACAAGTATCCTATGGGGGATCTCCCAACAGTCTCATATAGCTTCTTTTTTCTTGGTTAGTAATAAAAATAATCAGTGTTATCACTGAACTGGGGAAAATGGAACAGCAATTCATTTACAACACACTGTCACTTTATTTTTTTGCATGGGAGGAACAGATTTTAAATAGCGCCGGAGCTTTTTAATTGGAAATCTGTTCGCTTGTAAGTAGGTTAGCTGGGGAGCTAAATGAGGACGATGACTTTAAATCCCTTTAGGTTAGTTTTCCATATCTCGCTGTCTCTGACATGCAGGGATACCCACAATCCATCAGGTCGGACACGAAGCATCACACTTGTGAGATTCTAAGGAAGGGAGTGCATGCTGATCGGATCAAAACGGACACACGGTAGCACCACTGCTCTATTTTTCTCCCGTTCCCCTGTTCATTCCCCAAAAAAGTCTCTCCTGGTGATTATACCACAGATCCACAAGGCTGAAGACGGATGACATGTAATTCCATGTTGGCACTGGTTTGTAAAAGCCCGAGAGAAACAGTCCACGTTGTGAGTTTGTGTAAGTTATTCTGTTGTGTGCGTGCAGCGCTGAACAGCCAAGTTTCAGATCAGCTTGAGTAGTGGTCATACTCCTAATGTAGAGCGGTCTACAGCTCTGTGCTTCAGTTCATGTCGATGGTGTTGAAGACCCACTCTGTGAACTTCTTGAGCTTGGCTGAGGCGCTGTAGGACTCCTCCAGGAGACGCTGGTTGTCCTCTCGCAGGCTCTGGATCTGGGCCTGCAGTGACGCCTTGGCATCCTTCTCCTGGTGAAGACAAAGACATGTGTGAGCAATGTAGTCTTTCATTTGACATACAGATTTTTAAGTGTCTGTTTCCTTGTGTTTAAGGAACTTGTTAGCTTAACAGACTTATGGCTTCCCTTCTGATGTGATTGAATTTCATAAAAGTGGTTCAGGGCAAAATCACAGAAGCCAAAAACAGACATGCTTCCAATTATTTTTTTTTAACGCAGTTATCTCACAACAAGATAATTGTTTTGTTATCTTGAGTAAACAAGCTTTGTTATCTCTAGATGATCAGATAATTACAAAAAGCTCTTTCTCTTATTAGTGCCGTGCCAGCCTGCACAGACGGCATCTTGACAACTGTAGCAACTGATTTAAGCTGAACATGTCAGATCAAACACAGCCATTACTGATATTACTGATCCCATCATTGAAATGAAGTGTTAACAGTGTCCTCTTGTGCACACAAGAGTGGCAAGATTGCAGTTGGATGCATGCCAAACATGATGATCCGAACAAATGATCAATAAGATGACCCTAGTTATTCAAAGCTTCCAAATTATATATGTCTGAAGATCAGCATTACAAGAAATTAAAAACAAGCTATGAAGATGTAATTAAGTCTTTCCTTTTATTTTGAGTAGAGCTGTCTATAACTTAAAGGGGGGCTCCATTATTTATTTATTTATTTATTTATTTTCGGTTTTCATATCATTTTGTAGCTTTCCAGTGACTTTCCTTATGTACTCAAACTCAAAAAATCAAACTACATAGACATGTTGTTGGTAGTGTGTACAGCTCTTGTTGGGATTGTTATGAGTGCAGGAGGGTGGATGGGGATGTGGCGATGGTGATGGTGCAGCTGGAGGAAATATTTATATAGATTATTATTTTGACACTCATCTTTTATGGACTGTGAGCAAACATTTAACAGTGGTCTGGTTGGAATCTGTCAAGTTCTCATGTTAATACTATTATTATGATTTACCTCACCTAAAACCTTCTTCCTACATGATCTGACGTAGGTTTCTGCATGATGGCGTTGCTGTAAATAAACCCACGTACAGCCATGAACGCCTCATTATTTTTTCAGTTCAGAAAATCACACAATAACACAAACATGCTAACCAATCGAGGCAGCGGGAAACCAGCAACTCCTGTGTGCTGTGAGGTAAAATTACTGTTCAGTTCTGTATTCTGTCAATGGAGTGTGGTGGCTTTGAAGAGGGTGATATGACAGCCTCAGTTCTCCTTCAGAAAGGGCTGTCTGATGTCAAGTTAAAGCGGTGAAATGATTTAAATATAGTGTACCCTTGATATTGATTTTTTAGGGTGGTCCTCTCTTTAGGTGGCTAAAATACATTTCGCTGCCGCCCCGTCCACTGCAACCAGACTCCTTTGACAGAAACAGTAATTTTACCTCACAGAACACAGGAGTGTCTGGTCCACCGCTGCCTCAATCATTTAGTTTGTGTTACTGTGTGACTTTTGGAACTGAACAAACGTGGCGTCCACAGCAGTACATTGTTCAGCTTCTGTGACCCAGTACTTCTGTCTACCTCTCCAAACTGGGACTGCCATCTACTATAGGTAATAAACTGGCTGTGGTCTATACATATGTTTATTAAGTACAATAAAGCACTGAACCTCAGTGTGTCTTCACCTGGTTAAATAAAGGTTTAAGAATATTAAAATGACACCATCTTCCAACTTCAAGCTCAGATCTTCAGAGGAAACACTTTCCTCACACTTCATGCTTACAGTGTCAGAGAGAACCGAGCGCAGGGGTTGAGAAAGGGGAGAGCATCAGTGCTGTAACCAACATCACTGCATTTTGCTAAAGGTCAAGTGGGAGATATCTACTCAGCCATTGCATGTTAAACCAATTACCAGATTGGATATATCACATATTTTCAGTATAAGTCTATGTGTTATTGTTAAAGCTCACACTCTTATTTAAAGATGATGACTGACCTTCTTCAAGTCCTCTTGTAGCGCCTTCACCATTGACTCCAGCTGGCTGACCTTCCCCATCAGGCAGGCTGGAGTCTCTCTGTGAAAAAGAACAACCAGGACATTAGCTGGAACAAACAGTGAAACATCAGAGCGCAGCAGTGATTAAAGCTGCACCACATGCAAAAGTAGCCTTTTTTTAAGTCTCGTGAAAATGGAGAATTTCTTTCATTTCTAATATTGTAGTCGCTGATATTAGCATGCAGTCGACCAGAGTGTGAAAGACTAATTAGTGATATCAGCTGCAGCAGTGTTTCATTGGAGTGAAATCTGCAGGGTCTTCCATGGCACAGTGCTGGACACCAGCGGATTAAAGTAAACACTGGTCCCGGGCCATGACCTGAGGCCTCTTACCCAGGCGAGGGCTGTCTCAGCGGGGCTGCCTGAGGCTCAGCCTGCTGGGGGCTGGTGGCTGCTGCGCTCTCAGCCATGGAGCTCTCCTCTTGGGCCGCTAGGAAGACCAGCCTCTGCTCTGAATAAAAAACAGATAAAAGACGCATTGTTAGACTTGGAGAGAGCAAATACAGACTCACAGTGCCCTCTCCTGGTGAGAACAAAGATGGCAGTTGGGTTTTTCTGCCACAACTACCACTGAAAAGTAATATCTGTAATTAACCTTCACTTCCAATGATTTTGAGGAGGAAATGAAAGCACAATGTGTGCCTACCCTCAAAGGCCTTGGCAGCGTCTACCAGGTGGGCCCAGTCCAGTGGGCCATCTGCCCCAGTGTCAGGCAGGGGCATGAGGACAGCGTCCTGCAGCTGCTGCCTTTTCCTCTCCTGCTCCAGCTCAGAGCTCTCTGGGGCTGACAGGTCTCCTGGGAAGGAGAAATGGCAAAGTAAAACACAGTGGACAGCATTTTAATCTGTTCTCCCCTGGCAGAAAAATAGAGAAAATTTTGCAGCAAACAGCTGCATTTAGACTGAGACTGATATTTCAAACCTTTGGAAGGGCCTGTTTTCAGATTCTTACCTACTATGTACTGCAAATCACATTATCCTGCTTAATTACTTTTGTTCTAACTACAAACAAAAGGTCCACAGCACCGCCACCTGCTCTATGATTAGCTATAAATACTGAACATTCACCCAGGGATTTGTGTGATGCTCGTCGGCTTGGTCCGTGACGACTGGTGGGTGAGCGTGGCATTGTAGAGCAGCTGAACAGCAGGTCAGTAGGCGTGTCGCGCTGTCCACCGGAGGACGGCTCCCTCTGCCCACTGTAAATACTCTCATCCGACAGGGTTCTCTGGAGGGATCGACGAGTGGGCAGCGGACCCGGGAATAATGGCTGAAATAATGGAGACAGGACTCAGGTAAGACAGAGTGAAAAATATTGCAAATTATGGGTGAGCCATATCATGTCTTTCACGATAATAGCAGTTTAAAATAGGTGCGAATGTATGATAGTCAACAGCCTGTCAAAATAAATGCAGGTCTGTGTGTGTGTGTGTGTGTGTTGGTGTGTGTGCTAGGGGTCTGATGGTCAGCGCTGAGTGACACAGTGTGAAGGGTAGAGGAGAAATGGCAGAGCATACAGGTCCAGGTGGACAAAACAACTCGATATTTTGGGATTTTTCCAAAAAACAAACAAACAAACAAACAAAAACAAACAACAAACAAAGGAAGGAAAATAAGTTGGCTTTTCATAACTTTAAAATAATGGCTGAACTCGCCTGTTGATTTAATTTACACTACACTACGTGTAGTTTCAACTTTTGTTACCTCATTATAGGACTCCGTCTTCAAACTGGTAAATTCATCATCTCTTTGTGCCCGCCACTGTCTAGTGCAGATTAAGGTCATGCACAGAGCCTATTGGTCTAAAGTCAGACTTTCACGTTTCATATGAACCCTGGTTGTGACAAAAGCTCAAGAGGTGGGGCTTCTCTTTTTCACATGTATTAGACATGTCCGAGCCTTGAAAAATACTGGAAGGACTTTTTCCAAACTTTATCCTCAATCCATAACTTTGACTTGCAACCCAGCCTCTGGTCGCCCACGGGAGAGGATGATGTAAACCTGACTCAAATCCAGTGCCGTACACTGTCTTTTGCCTCGCTGCAGTTCTAATCAGATGGAAGGATGCTGCCCCGCCCACCCATGCCCAGTGGCTGAGGGACATCATGTCCTGCCTTAATCTTAAAAAGATTCGCTAGTCAATTTGTAACTCAAATAAATAATTCAAACAGGTTTCTGGCCCCTTTCTGAAACACTTCCAGAGCTGTCAGTTAGACTGAAGATTTTGTGTTTGTTTCTTGTTCTTGGTGCTTTCTGTCAGTGTATACTCTGATAAAGCCTTTTACATAGGCTTCTCTCCCCCTCTCTTTTTATACTGAGCCTTACTTTCAGCTCATCTGTCATTTTCTGTACTATTCAGGAGATGGAGGACCGTCCTGTTGATGTTATTCCGGCTGTTATTAGGCGTGAATGGGAATGGGGAGGATTGTGATGGAGTTTCATGCTTCGTTCCCTTCATACATATGCTTTAAGTTTGACATTTGTTGTGATTATGCACTGTGTAATCCTGTTGAAATCGAATAAAAATATTCAAGATTTTAAAAAACAGGTTCCTGTTGCTGTTTACAAACTACAGAAGTGAGATTTTTTTAGTTTTTACTGACTATTTGAAGGCAAACTGTTACATTTATGCTGACATACGCAATTATAACACTTAATTTGTTGTGACTGTTTGCTCTTGGAATTAATAAGAAATATTTTTTGGTATTTTGTCATATCATCAAGAATATCATTGTCATAAAAATCCCCTAAAATATTTTGATATTATTTTTATTCTAATTTATTTTTCATTTAACCCATGTTTAACCAGGTAAGTCCCGTTGAGATCAACAATCTCTTTTTCAAGGGCAACCTGGCCAAGACAGCAACACAAAAAAAGTTACAGCCAAACAACAACAAAACAAGCCACAATTTTGGCTGTTTAGTATCGTCTTGACCACTATGTGACTATGTGAATTTGTTTCTTAAATCAAATCTTGATCTATTTTTTTGTTTGTTTAGTTGACTTAAAGGCATACTATGCAGGGAAAAAACAGTATAGCGACTCACACAAAAATGTTCCCTCATCATCACTTCTGACTCACTCTCAGTGTGTGGTGGTGTCTGTATCTGCAGAACCTGCCCTCTGCCTGTACTTTCTTCTTATTTTAGTTTGTTCAGGATGTTTCTGTGTGTCACCCCCAGCCAGCAGCAGCATGAGGTTGAGACTCTATAATAACATAGCGACCAGCCGTTTCTTTTCTCTGCTCTGAGGGTGCAAGTTGCAGGTTTGTGTGTCTGTCTGATCGAAGGCGAGGTTGAGCCACACACACACAAGCGTGCACATCAGTTGAATTCAGACAAAATCCGGCAATGCAGCACCTTCCTGCAGGGCTGTGTGGAGGTGTGGGTGTGTTTATTTGTGCTTCAGAGTGTAACCACCGTGAAACAATCAGAAAATAACGTTTTATTTCTTTGATTCACTTCAATCACTTCCTAGCTTGTTTGACCACCGCTACTCTCAGTCTCATTGAGCCGAGGAAGAGGGGCAAAGTTTGAATGTTGTGTTCACAAACAGTACGTGACAAATCCAGCAAAGTGTGCCTTTAATTAGCAGAGCTTTCCACGTTTCCCCTGGCAACTGCAGAAGGATCGGATGGAACAGGCTTCATTATCCCAGTGGGAAATTTGCCTTGGACATCACAGTGTCTGCGGTATAAACAACGGTGCAAATTCTGAGAAGTAACCCCACAGGTACAAGTACCCCTGATGAGGAATCTCTATCCTTTCTCAGTACCTTCTCTTCACTTGTAGTGGGTGGAGGGCTGTCGAGTGTGATGAGCTTCTTCAAGTCTTCTTCCAGGCTGGACTTGGCAGTGTGCCGCTGGGGCGACTGGGAGCCCCGGAGATTGGCCCTGAGCTGCGGCTGACCTCCCAGCAGACCGTCACTCTGATGCCTTCTGAAGATAAAAACAAGATTCAACACAGAGAGACTCCTAAAGTCGAAATAACACACATTATATAGCAAATCAGGCAAAGGTTATAGAGGTGGCAGCCAAGAACTTGAAAAGCATGTCTGTGATTTAAGGTCAGCAGTTCAAACGCTGAGGTAAATGATAAGGATCTGCAACTACTCTCTGTGATGTTAACATGCCAATGACAAGACTCGTAACCACTTAACTGCTCCACCAGGAGTAACTGTGGTTTGCTGAGCAGCTGTACAGTGTGAAAACAGCAGCTGCCATCAACCACAAATGATGCAATCACCCTTGTGATACAGTGACTCATATGCTGCCATGAATGAATGAAAAAGACCAATTATGTTTAGTCACCCATCTCTGGGAACCAAAAGATTTTGTTTAAAAATAAGAAGTTTCAACCTCAGCTACACCACATGGTGGCAGTGTTGGCCACATAAAAAAAAAACAGTACTAGGCGAGCAGTCAATGTGGCAAACTATAACAAGACATTCATTCCCTTCCCCGGTGTCTCAAACATCAACATCGCTGACAGCAGGACGCATTTCAACACTGAATCTCAACTTCTCTTTTCACTGCAGGAGACACAGTTCCTATCTTACTTGCGAGTACTGCCAAAGTCCACAGAGTTGACGGTCCCCCCGGGTTTCCTCCAGCCAATCAGGTACTTTGAAGTCGCTCCTTGACGCGGGTAGAAGCTCTTGGTCCCCGGTGATGTGGGTGAGGTGGCCGCAGCAGATGCCTCGTCTTGCCCCTGGCCCATCGGACTCCCTGAGTGGCCAGAACTGAGTGTGCTGGAGAAGAGGGGAGGCAGGTGAGACATATGAGTGGGTGAAGAAGGGCGTCACTTTGATATTCATGTGATTATAATCCATACAAGCAGCAAGAGCAGATTAAATGGCTGGCTGTACAGTCGTAGTCATGTCAGGGTTTCATTTTATTTGGCCTTGGTTCAATTGGCATGATTGATGAAGCACCAATGAATCCTCCCAGATGGCTACTTTTCTTCTAGTTTAAAATATTTACGCATACATAAACAGAACATAAACAGACTCTCTTAAACTCATTAGTTAACCTGTTCCATCACCACAGTCCCCACTGTCTCTGCAGATGGGACCGATTGATGATTTTATAGATAAAAAAATAGGACACAGTGTCCTTGCTTCATTTCCAGCAACTTCAAATAACATTCCGCCGTAGTTTGACATAAAAGCTGGAATTTTCAAACAGCAACTTTTGTGTCTGGGTGCAGGCGCGCATGTGCGTGCACTGCGCATACTATAAAACAAAGCTGCCAATGTACAGGTCTGGTGGAGCTGAGTTATTTCTGGCTGAGTGAAGAGGAGAGAGGAAAGCTTTAGTTGATTCAAAAGGAAGTGGGATTTAGAAGAGGGGGAACAGTGCTGAGCTCACAGTCTGCATTTCTTGCAACTTCAAGCACTTCCTTTCTATCATGGATACCGGGAGACGGAGATACATACAAATGCAAAACCACACACACACACACACACACACACACAGACACACACACACAGGCAGAGTTATTTCATTCTTCCTCTCTCCCTTTGTTAACGCCAAACTGCAGAGCTTTGGACTTTTCCATCTGGGATGGTGCAGGATATATCTGGACTACAATGAATCACTGTCTGTTTAATGAAACATTGATGCGAAGCCACAAATTCCTCAGCTGACTCAAACAGAACAGCAGCACACCTGGAGTGGGAGGCGGCGTCACTCAGGCTGTACGAGCCGCTATCAGGTACTAGTGGAAAGGCTGTTGGACTCTTGGCTGGGATCTCGCTGCCTCCAATGGCGACGAGAGAGTCTGGTGTCGGCGGTGAGGAGTCCGAGGCTCTCTGGCTGCCCGCCGAGTCATCCTGCCATGGGATTTTGTCTTTGGCCCTGAAGGCACCGGTGGAGGAAGCTGTGCTGCTTTGTGTGGCGGTGAAGGAGGTGGCATCTATGCCACTGTCAGTGGAAGCACCCTGAAGATAGCCGTTGAGCTCCAGATCGCTCCGCACTCCTGAACGTGAGCCGACCTCGTACCACTTCTCGTCGCTGTGGGCGGAGCTGGAGGCGTTGCTGGAGAGCGTGTTGCTACTCGACTGGCTGGATGAATATGGAGCGTCCCCCTATTCAGAGATGAGAAATCAAATGAGCGTTTTCAAAGTGAAACCAATTACAAGAACATGATGTATTAATCCACAAATTCATGTAAATAAAGTCACAGCGTCTCATACAAAATGGCAGATACTTAAATAGTACAGTGCAAAACATTACAAGTAATTTAACATAACTTAGACACTTCTGCAGTCTGAAAAAAAGGTGTAGGCTGAAGCTACAGCTTATAACACCTACCGTAGTTGAAACAACTTTTGGATACTTTCGGGTAATAATTGTTTTGTTTTTTTTGCTCTGTACATAATTTGAGCTGTTTCAAAGTTGAGCAAATCTTCAAATTTCAGAGTCATTACTTTAATAAATGATGAGCTTGTTGGTTCTCCTTATGAGGTTTTGTTCACAGTTCTCATGGCTCTCTTGAAGTATGAACACTGAAATGGTATTTGTTTTATATGTATTTCCCCACACTTAAACAAACACTATAAGGTGTGTAATGAGGCTTGAGTTAGAAGATCTTTCACTTAATATACTGTATATTGCAATTATTTACAGCACATAGCGCACATTTTCACCCATAATGATATTGCAAACTCACTCTACTGTGATTATTCAAATGGCAGTGACACACCAAGCCGACAGTCGGTCAATGTCGGGCTGTCGGTGAGCATCTGTTGCCCTAGTTTTGGCAGTATTTCCTGCAACCCTGTCACTAGTCAGCCCTTGTCTGCTTATTTTTGGCCTGTCTGCTTTTTTTTGGCCAATTCAGTATATTGAGTATTTGTCAGAGACAGTTGAGGCAGATGTGTGAAATATCTGATCAGCAGTTCAGTTCAGTACAGAAGAATAGAAATGGAAGTGAGGAAAGTAAACAAAACGGCTAAAGTCAAGAGGGCATGAGTTTGTAACAAACTTATTACATGAGGTCATTTTATTTTTTTAGCCATGAGCTCTTTAGCAGAAACTGCTGTAATTTGTATGTGTTATTGTTAGCTAGCACACAGTAAATATCATTTGTTCTTTTAACATGATGTTGTGCTAGTTATGTGCTAACTGGCTAACTAGCGTCTTTAATCCATCCTGTCGGTCTACCAGTTTCCCTTTTTGATTGAGGAATTCAGACTACCGTGGCCTGCTGCTATGAAGAATGATTTCCTGTTACCCAGGCACAAAACATTCATGCTAGTTGGCCAATGGCTGTAGTCTTTGCATTGTGTTCAGGTGAAGCATTTTGGCTGAGATACAGGCGACGTGACGCGACTCAATGTGTCTGGGCCTTAAGACTGTCCACTGTGTAGTTTGGTGTTCACGTGTTTCTAGCTCTTACTCAAAGGCACATAATCATTACCGGCGATTAAACAGCAGCCCGTTGGTTACCACAGTGTCATCTTTATCAACTCCTAACCTGCCATCACATAGGAGTAAGGAAATTATCTACAGTATGGTGCTTGTTGATTCCAGCTCACCTTAGTGCCTTTGTTAGGAGACATGCTGCTGCCCTGCTCTGACGGCTGGAGTCGAGGAATCACCGCCTTGGAAACCGTCTCTGTGGGAAGCAACGACTTATGGGTAATGAGGTCTGTAGACGAGTGTTAGCACAGTAAGAGTTATTACTCAATGCTATTGCCCAGAGTTCGGAGTTCCGTCTTACCTGCACTAGTTTTGTCACCTTCCCCGGGTCGGGACCATCCAACACCCGAACTGGAGCACGCTTTAATCCCATTGACCCCGTCACCTGCCACCTGCCGCACAGACTGCACCGGGGACTGGCAGTTGTTGTTATTAAACCTACAGGGGAGATGAGGAAGGTCACCTATGCTGCCAGGTAGTGCAGCAGGACATTTAGCACATGTAATCCACAGTTGGGGACAGAAGAACTTACCCATCAGGCATAGACTTTTGCCTCCACTGGTTGGAGCTCATGGTGTCTGTGTAGGGCAGGCTGGAGGGGGAGTTTGTGTTGTGCATTGTGCGGCCCATCACAATGGAGCAGGCAAGAGCGTAGTTGTCGTTCCCTGGTGAATACCTGTGGCGACACGTAAGTATGTCACTAAAGAGAAGTATTTGTGCTTTTCCTTAACTTTTGTCATATATTTAAAGTTACAACGTTGGATATTCATATGAAACACTGTCAAAGTTCCAAATAACAAGGTAAAAGTAATCCCAGTGAGCACAAACATCAGGCTTTAGACTGTGTGTGGCAACAAGATAACATCAGATTGTGACAGATTTCTTTACATCTGCTCCAGGCATGTTACTGTGTTTTTTATTAGGTAGCCTGCACTGCTACATGAGGCTACATGCTAACATCAGGGAAACCTGGCTGCCAATGTTTTAAATATCTCCCCGATTTCATGATCATATTCCTGCTGGGACATGTCTAGTTGTGTTTTGAAGCTTTTGTTGGTGATTTTTATAAGAGACGTGTGTCTATACACAGTCATTCCCCTGCTGCCAGTACACTGCTACATGTAGCTACATGCTAACATCAGGGAAACATAAAAACTTGGTTGCTGATGTTTTTAATTTCTCCCTGATTTCAGATCAAATTTCCTGCTGGAGCATGTCTAGCTGTGCTCTGAAGCTTATTTTTGGGTGATTTTTAATGGGAGAAAGTGTCGCTACACTTCATCACAGTCATTCTCCAAATGCTAGCACACTGCTACATGTAGCTACAGGGTAACATCAGGAAAACCAGTAATCTTGGCCAATGATGTCATTAATTTCTCCCTGATTTCGGAGCCTATTCCTGCTGGAACATGTTCAGTTGTGTTTAGAAGCTTTTATTGGTGATTTGTGTGTGTGTATGTATGTGTGTGTGTGTGTGTGTGTGTGTGTGTGTGTGTACTGCAGCCAGACAGCTTTGTGCTCAGTGTGTCTGCAAATTTCATACAAGCATTATATTTATCTTGTGACCTTTTGGGGTTGATGGGTCGCCCGTCGCTGGAAACACTTCGGGGAATAGCAGCAGAGTTACGGTCACTGAAGTCTGAAGGCTGGGCCTTGATCAGCGTCCCGGCTGTGCCAGCAGCGCGTGTTTGAGGGCTGGAGGAGGTGCGTGGCCACTTGGTGTTGTTGTTATTGGTGGGGCGGAACGGGAACTTTAACTCGTAGGGCATGCCCTCTTTGTGGTTCTTGTAATCCACCAGTGGCATGTGGTAGATTTCCGAGCAGCCTCTGTTGACAGATGAAGAGTTCACAGTCAGAACGGGACACAGCCTCAAAAAAACACAGACAACTGCATTACAGAAATACTTCACCCACAAAATGAGCATCTGTATGTCGATTACTCACCCTATGTTACACTGAATTTGGAAAGTTTTTCTTGCATGCCTACATGGTGAGCGAAGAATCCAAAAAGGGAGAAAACTGAAGAACTGAGGTCATAGGGGATCGTGTTGAACGACAGCAAAACTAAATCAAAACATCTGCCTACAAACTCTCACACAACTCCTGTATTATAATCCAAGTCTCTTTTATCCAGTTGTATGCTCAGTACCTCTAAACACATGCATTATCTCTAAACTTATGCATAAACAGTCTCAGACATGGACGAGTAGCACACCTGGGCAAGCTCGTGCGTTTGAACTCTGTTCGAGGAAAAGCAGCTTGCCTATGCACGCTACTTAAATGCAAACGTGTTTTAAATGGTGTTTTGTTTGGGAAGTACTGAGCATACAACTGGATAAATGAGACTTAAATTATGCTGCCTGAGTAGTGTGAGAGTTTGTAAACTGATGTTTTTATATGGTTTTGCTGTTGTTAAACCTGGAGCCCTTTTACTCCAATTTATCAACAATTTTCTCAGTTTTAGGAGTCTTTGTTAACTGTGGAGGCATGCAAGCATTTTGTGGGTGAAGCAGGGGTGTAACTCTACACGTACTTGTATTGAACCATATTGTATTGCTTTGAAGTAATCCTATTACATTTGGAAAATAACATATACAGCTTGTATGGAACATAATGTTCTTAGTGTCACTGTGCTCAACAAGGCAGCACACACAATGTGACAGGTAACATGCCGTCTGCCCCTCCCATCCCCAAACCATTGTACTCCAGTGAGACACACAGTGAAAGATTCTCCAATAACCTACAGGTCTGGCACTTTGGTTTTGCTTTGAATTACGAGGGCAATGGCCTGAGAGTGGTAGACGAAAAACAATGGTATCTTGTATCTGCTACATGCCAGTAGGTTACATCAGTGGGAAATACTTAAAAGATGTCAACTCATTTACACTGACATCACCCCAGTGTGCCAACAGGTGGGAGCACTGTTTAGCACCATTCCTAACTGATTCAAACACGGAAAAAGAAATCGCTGCAGCCTTTGGCAACATTACATGGATAGGCGCAGATATGAAACCTTCTTTGTATCGGAAAGCGCAGGCTTTACGAATATGTTAAATGCAATTGAGCCCCATTACAGTATGCCTTCATGAGCTCATTTTAGCCAGACTGTAATTCCTGCTTTAAAGAAAAAAAATAAAGCCCAAAATATGATGTTAGTTTTAAAACTTTTAAAAATGTGAAAACAAGGAATTCTGTTTTATATGCTGCTAAGAAGACAATATGTGTCACTCAGCTCCATTGTTCAAAGTCAAAAAGTTAGTTTTAATAACTTAATTTTTTTTATTCAGCGACATTTTTCTGGAATTTATACTTTTTTGTTGTATCTAAATTTGTACCGACCTTGACACAAATGTGTTGTACCAAACCGAACTGTGACTTTTGTGAACTGTTACACCCCTAGGATGCAGTGATCTTTTAAGCAAAGTTTCTCTTGCATTTATAGATCATCTATATCCACTTTACCTGCGTGGTGTGGAGTCCTCATGTGGGGGGATGATAACCACCTTGACAGTAACAGAGGTTCTGAGCAGGTCGATCATCTGCTCATGGGACAGCGAGGCCACCGACACCTTGCAAATCTCCACCAATCGGCTGCCCTGCCTGAGCCCAGCCTGCCAAGCATAGCCATATGGCTCCACCTCTGCAACGATGCCCTCAAAGTTGACATGAAAGCCCAGCTGGCCCAGGGCGTTACGGCGCAGGGTCATCTCTGTGGTCTGACTGCCCTTGGTCAACAGCTACAGGACAGATAGAGTGAGGAAGAGAAAAAGAGCAGAAGACATTCATAATGTTTAAAACAATTTCTTAAGAAACCCTTCAGTCTTTTGCAGGTAAACTAATATACTGTCTTCAAAGCAACCACATCTTTTAAAGATGCATCTGACACTAGCTCTAATCTCACCCCAGCTGAGGTACATATTTCAGTCACATACTATGAATACTCAACAGTTTGATTTAAATTATTCTGCTCACTCCCATGATAACTGCCTACCATTAGGCACACTGTCTAGTTCTTCCTCTACCTGTGGGAAGTTATCTGAGAAGTAAATAGTAGTTAGTGCAGCCCAGGAGCGAATCACAGTTCCAGTTAGCTACATGTCATGATGCCCACAACAAAGGCCATGAAAAAACACACATTCCTGCTTTACAAAGAAAGGCACGTGCCAGTACTGGTAGCACCCAACAATAAATCTTTACTTTGTTTACCATCTAATAGAACTGCAGCATCAGCAGAGTGATTCGCCCCATCAAAAAGCACTGCCATACCTACACCACATTGAAAACCTCAGTAATGATATCATATCACCAAATTACTATGTATTGTGCTCAGCATGACTTATAATCATAGGGTCAACACAACAGCTGTGGCTTTTTGGTGACTGTATAATTTCAGGCTACGCCCTTATGTTGCTATAATAACATCAACAATACTTAGTTCTTATTTCTATGTACGACTGTTGTCAAGAGACAGAGGGTATGACTTGCCCTCACACTTTTTGCCTACATACCTGTTTAATGGCTGCAGGGATATTCAAAAAGAACCTGACCTTTGCCCTAATTGAAACTGGTTGGTTTAGAAATCCATGTTTGTTCTGTTGTGTTAGGCTACAGCCAAACTAATTGAGCATAGCTTTAGTTTAGGCAGGACATGATGTCAAGCTCAGCTCACATCCCAGCTACATCAGCTGACCTCAAACAGCCCGATCAACTGATGGAGCAGCTGACTGATAGATCACATGATTCCTTTCTATGCAACCAATTGGCGAATTTCATCCAGGGTGCCTTATTTAAACTGCTCTGGTCTATCTACTGTTGCTGCTTCCTTTTCCTCCACCCCAGCTCCTCCTTTTCATGCTGTGTCTGACTTATCAGTGTCATTTCTGTTTGTCATTGATGCTGCTCTGTTCTGTTCCCAGGGGTCTTTGCTGCTGCTCTCTCTGCCTTAGGCTTTCTGTGTAGGCGCATGGAAGGGCAGAGAGGTGTGCTCTCCCTGTCTTAGGCTTTCCACAAAGGCGCGTACAAGAGATTCTCTGTGTAGCTCTAGGAAAAGTAGAGAGGCCCCAGAACGGAGCCATACCACCAAATGTATTACTGCAAATGGAAATTAAGTTTTCTTTGACTAAGTGGTCCTGACTGAGATACGTTTTTGTTTTAAAACACTTCACTAATGCTACATTTATGCCTGGTGTCTGCTGCAGCATTTTGGATCCCCTAAAACAGTGACCTCAGAAAAACACTGCTGACCCCCTTGGAGTTGAAAACTACTGGGGTTGCGTTTTAGTCTGGATGGGCTGAAAGAGAGACATTTTAAAACAATGACCCACCCACCCATTACTTCCCGATTGGGTCACTTTTGTGTTTTCACCCTTCTTGTGTGGGTAACATTTCCTTTCTTATTGTCATTGCTTTTGTTACACCAAATTCTGTGACCATCAAGAGTCCACATCCCAGCCCCAAAAACCCCCTAACCACTCAACAACTGTCACTCAATTGTTTTTTAGGGGAGTCTGGCTCTGGGTTACAGATTTTGGTGTAACAGCTTCCCAACGCAATGGATAATGCTCCCAATACCACTCTAATAAGCGCTGTATTTGCTTTGTAATGACTCCCAATCTGTTTTCCGCCTCCTTGACTGCCTGATGTTACTTCCAATGACAGCTTCCACATTGTTGTTAGTTCACGCAATGAAATCTCTGGTCTTACTTTACACCAACTCCATAATTTCTTCTGTAACTTTATCTGTTTTTACTCTGCAACAAACTGCAGAGCAGGCAATCTGCTTCATGTTTACACCAGTGCAGGCATGCCCAATGTAGGTAAATGGTCATGTGAGATGCATTTTAAGGAGCGTTAGTATGGATTGAGATGATTTCTGAAACAGTTCTAAAGACACTTGCCTGTACGGTGATTGTTTTTGTTTTAAAACGCCATTTAAAAGGTCCAGTATGTAGGATTCACTTGCGTCTGGTGGTGATGTTGCAGAGCTGAAGCCCATGTGTCAAATGCGAATGGCACTGTCTAGAACCAGTGTCTGATTTGTCTGTTCTGGGCTACTGTAAGAACATGGCGGACTCTGTGAGAGAGAGGACCTGCTCCATATAGATATAAATGACTCACTCTAAGGTAGTGAAAACACAGCCCTTCTTATTTTTAGGTTATTATAAACTAATGAAAACATAGTTAAGGATATTAAATACCATTTCTGCCAATAGATTCCCCTAAATCCTACCCACTGGATCTGTAAAACGAAAACATATCAGTGTGGATGTGGCTTTAATCATTGTTATCTTTCGTGGATAAGCTTTGCAGACAACTAATCTAAAATGTACATATAATGATAAAAGTAATATGCATAGTGAGAGGTACAAGGACTGTGTGTGTTCATTACAAGCTGTTTGTCAGAGACGTGGTGTTGGGCTCAGTGTAACCTCTGATAGCTGCAGCAGATGGTGTGTGCTAATGAGATGTACTGTCATAGACAGTAGTGGTGCCCCACTGACCTCCAGTCTCTTGACAACCTCTCCAAAGTCTTCTGTGTTGTTATTGATGGAGCGCAGTGACACACTCTCACCACGCTCGTAGTAGATCTTCATGGAGGCGGGGCTCCCCGTCGACCAACCAATCACGTCACGCGTGGCGCAGTTAAACACGACCGCTTTGGCCTCCTGATCCAACAGGATGATGAAGTCATTTGAAATGGCCAACAGGCATTCACGTTCAGCGCCAGCTACCTGATCTTCAGCGTGAACCTGCCACGTCACAGCCCCCAGGCTCCGAAGCTCCGCCCCGCTGTACGGACGCACCTTCTCTCGTCGTTTGTGCGCCAGAGAGATGAAGGGGAACTTCCCAGTGGGTTCTACTGGAGTACTGGTCACATGACGCTCTGCCAAGTCCCGCAAATACTCCTGCCGTGTGCGTGTTGCCATGGCACCAAACTTATCGGACTTGTGGGCTGCGTTCTCGGCGTTGATGACTTTGCTCAACAGGAAGTCCCTGAAGACAGTGGACTTGGGAAAGGTCACGCCCTTGGGGATTGGTGGGCCAAAGGAGGGGACGTCCTGGGAACGGGTGACAGCCACACTGCGGAGAGGGAAGAAGAGGGGAAGAGTTTGAGGTCACTGCTGTAGTATGTAAGTAAACAAACATTATAATCCATACTTGTAAACGACTTTTTATAGGCATTTGCAGCAATGCACTAGGAGTATGGTTCGATTTGACTCAGTCATTAAACAATATACAAAAAGGTTGCAAAATCCGCCCTCAATAACAACAGCAGGCCAACCTTTAGGAAAATCGTATTTGCAGGGTTAACTGCCACGATAAAGACCATAATACACTCATGGTTCTCCACTGAGCCTCCATCACTAAAACAAATGACTGAATTATTTTAGGGATATTGCTCTCACACAAACATCATTAGCTGTAAATCATAAAGCACAGGCATCCATGGAGAGGGTTCAGATATCCTCATTGGTTCGCTTTGAAACCCACATTTTCTTCCACAGCTTTGAAAGAATGTAAGAAGAAGAAATAACTAGAGTTGTCAAAGTTAACGTGTTAATAACAAGATAACACAAATTCTTTTTAATGCTACTGATTTTTTTGACGTGCGGTTCTTCTGTAATAATGACCCTCGGCCCACCATGTAGTTTGGGAAATCAGGAAGCAATGCAGCAGTAACGTGGATGGCAAGCAGAAAAAAACCTCTGTGGGCAGAAATTGATAAAGAAAGGCATCTTTTGATGACAAGTTCAGCTTCACAGCCCTGCCTGATGGTTCTCTCGACAAGACCAACGTTATTTGCATTTACAGTCGATGTGAATTGAGTTACCACCGGAGCACGTCGAGCTGCTTAAAAAACAGGGGACGTTTATGTAATCTTTACAAGTGTAAAGTTGGACCCTACATTGTGTTAGTATTACTAAGTAATGTTACATTCAGGTCAATATGCATATTTTTTGAGCATGCAGAATAAGGATAGACCAATACATCGGCCGGCCGATATATCGGGCCGATATTTGAGTTTTTTACTTGTATCGGCATCGGCCGATACGCGCGTGGGTTCGCGGATTTATTTTTCCCTGGCACTTTTTTTCATTTGAAAGTATGTGGTTAAGTTGAACAAAGCTGTTGAATCCTACTGTGTACAGTAGTTGTTGTTTTATTTATGCTTCAGCTTAAATATTTGTTTATTTTATAAAGACATTACTGGAAGATTTAAGAGCACTGAACTCTTTTTTTTTATTTGACTGTATAATAATAATAATAATAATAATAATAATATTCTACCTGTTCTACCTCAACTTTCCATCTTGTTTTAGTATTTTTTACTGTTCAATAAATGTTTCTTATTTTAAACTTGAGACCTGTAATATTTGTTATCATTGTGTCATTTTTTTTTATGTAAATTGAGGGAGCAAAAGCAGTATCGGCCCCAAATATCGGCTCAAGAAAATCGGCAGTCCATAATCGGTCATCGGCTAAGGGTGATGGAAAAAAATCGATATCGGCATCGGCCCTAAAAAATCCATATCGGTCTATCCCTAATGCAGAACCCTTGAGGTTATTCTGGAGAATATTCTGGACAGTCTCTGTCATGGTTTTGGATTGTTGCAATAATAATAATCATGCATTTGCATTAATCAAGCATATTTGTCCACTCCCATGATGATAATAAAAACTTGAAAAATATCCCCTCAAAGGTAATGCGATTAAATATTTTAATCGGTTGACACCTTTAGAAATAACATAAAATATTAATAGCATGAAACATAATAAGATAAGAGAAGCTTGACAACTAACAAAAGTTAACATAACTTATTTCCATGATGGTCAAATAACTGTGGAAAAAGTTGCATTACAAGGACAAACAGCACATGAGCCTGTAAAACAGCATGGTGGAGACATCTTTACACAGTTTCCCCTAAAGTACCGTTGCCTTTGACCTGTTTCACTTGTGAGCATAAAGGAGGGCGTTTGAGTTCCTACGGGCAAAGCTCTCCTCTTGTTACCCTCTGCTGCTCCTATTCCATTTGCACACAAAGGCTGTCCTTGTGTAGGATTACTATAAATTAGTTAACAGGTGAAGGTATTGTTGTCTCATACCTGCTGTTCATAAGGAAATGGGCCCAGCGTGGAACAAATTCAGCAAAGTGTGCTTTTAAACATATTAGGATTAATGCACTATTCAGGGAGACATGCTTGGATTATCAATCAGTTGGCGGCATGTTTATACCCACTCTGACTGTGTAATTGGAGGCTATAAATGTATACATATTTACAGTCAGTAGCATACACTGAAAGCCCATTAGTGCATAAGAACTGACTCTTGGATAAGCCGATGTGACAGTCCTGACAAGTCTCCATCCAGTCCATTCAACAGATAACACAGCCGTAGCCTTTAGCAGAAATGTTGCATCCATGCCTGACTACACCCGGCGTATAAATACTATACATCCAATCACAGCTGACATGTCAGCTCCTAGTGCTGACACCCTGCCACTCTCTGCTACATGGCGGTATGGAGGAGTGGTGCTGCGGCTGGAGCTAGCGAGCACAAACAGCCTTAGCTTCCTAAACAAAGGTCCAGTTATGCAATCTGCCTTGCTGGCCCTGTGTGACTTTGAGGCAGCGGTTGAAAGCAGCAGATTAGCACCCCGCTGGCCCCGGGCCACTTACTCCTCTAATGCTCCGGTCTGGCTCAATATGACCTGAGCATTATCCAAATCTCAGCAGCAGGCAACAACAGGCTATTAATAACTGGATGACTCAACAAATCAAAACATACTCTTTACCTCTCTAATCTCTATTAATGAAGATGCCCCATTATTGACATGGCCTTACGCAAGACATGAAGACACGGTCATGTGACATGGTGGCAGAAATCAAAACAATAATGTCTTTGTGGGAAATTTTTGAGCAAGTATGTGTGCGTGTGAGAATCTGTGTGTTGTGTGTGTGTGTGTTTGCAAACGTGTGACTTGAGATCAGCTGAAATCCGTAGAGTGTGGTATCCGGTTAGGGGCAAATTGCTGCATCAAAACTCTACAAAAAAACTAAAACAGTAAAACACAACCCACAGAGACCTACAGTGTAACTTACCTCCTGGTGTCACCAAAAAGCACCCATGTTCTTCATGGTGTTACTGCACAATATCCTGAATCTTTGTTGCAATCAATGTGAAGCAACAAAGAGATGAGTTGATGATAACTTGTTTCTGTTCTGAAGCCACGATCCTACACCCAAGATACACCACTCAGTATGGTGTAGCTAATCTTTGTAGCCTGTGTTCTCTTGTTCAGATTCTTTCCAGAGCATCAGGAGAAGGCATCCATGGAATGACTGGTGACAAACAGTCAGGAGTGAAGTCCTAGCATACGGTGTCTCGATCCACACAATGTGAGTAGAAGCAAAAGGCTGAGAGTGTGAGTCTCTCTGGGTGGGGTAGCTAGACTGTCCTCAAGGACTCTGTGTCCCGCGCCTCTCCATTTCATCACTAAGGCAAACCAGGAGAACCAGCATTTCACCCTTTTTCTTTTTCCACAGTTTAAACTAAAACATGCCCCCCTTTGGGCGAAAAGCAAGCAGACTGAAGGTGGTCCAGGAGATGGAGTAGCTGCTCAAAAAAAGAGGGAGCTCACCAGGGCAGAGACAAGAAGGGCTCCAAGTAAATTAGCCCAAATTTGACGCGGGTGCGAGCTTGGAGACAGAAAGCTGTCCTGACCCATCCGCTCCTGAGATGGACTCTGTGAGCTCTGAGGGGACTCTGCACTCAACAATCCTCCCCGCTCACATGCATGTCCGGGTGAAGAGAGCACTTCATGTGCATGGCGCTAACTCCTTCAGACCATTCCGGCTCACGCTGCCCAAAGGCAAAGTGGCAGGCAGGGAGGAGGAGGAGGAGGAGAAGAAGAGGGGGGCATTGTATTATATGAGTGTGTGAAGAGTGCGCCTTTGAGTGAATTAGTGTGCACGGGGAAAAAAGTGCGTGCATGTGTGTGTAACTGTGTGCAAGTGAGCATGAGAAAGAGGTAAAAAGGAGAAACGGGAGTACGAGAGTGAGAGGGAGCAACTATGTGTGTGTAATATCCGTGTATGCGGAGCAGAGAAAGTGTGTGTGTGTGTGTGTGTGTGTGCAGTAGGGTAGAGAACACCACAGAGTCGCAGTCTGATCATCACGACGCAAAGAATCAGCCAGCGGAGAGGAAGAAGAAGAGGAGGACTCCCATCAGTTGGACAGCGACTGCAGGGCCAATCTATTCCATTTGATCATAATCAAACTAATTCATACTTGTGCAGACGTACAGTAGACATGAACAATCCAGAGAGAGAGGACGGTCACGCAACAGGCTTTTATGTTTGACCCATGCCTTCCAGTCAATGCTTTTGTCTTAATGCTGCTGTGGCCACACCGCTGGTAGCACTGAAAGTGGTGTGGAGCTTTTAAGGTTCCCATAAAAAGGGTCCAGTGCTGCACTGAGATGGAAACATACCTACTGGGTTTGGTCAGTCTGGCCTACTTAAAATTGTAATGAGTCTCCTTAGTCTCCAGATACGGTCATATATATTCATAGCTGGTGGGCTAACCTTAACCTCGGTGTCAATCGCTGTTCCAGACTCAGAATTCTCTGAGACGGTGAACTGGAAACCTTTTCAAGGCTTTTCACAAACCTGTACTTATCCAGGAAGAGGTTTTGTTCAGCACACATGCCACACACACCAACACTGATTTTTCTTCCTTCCTTCCTTCCTTTGACCAACCACACAGCATGTATAATGTGTAGAAGAAACAAGACTAGGTTGAGCCTATTGTATGGCAGGACCGCGTATGGTTACTTGTTAAAGGACGAGAGCTGCAACAGTTCATTGATTAGTTGTAAACGATTAAATCAATCGGCACGCAATGCAGTATGTGATGAATTCATAACCTCCCAGTGTGAATGTTTTTAGAGACTAACTGTGAGACTGCCATAGCACACTCTATCCTCTAGGAATCTCTGAAGGCTTATCTGACGGGACAGATAATATCTGTCTCTGGTCACATGGAGAAAAAATCTTGGAATAATCTGGAACTATTAGAGGCAAATATAAGCTTGGAAAGGAACACTTTAAAACAAGATCAGAAGGTTTATATAAGACACTTTTGATGAAACGTAACCAACATTATCTATCAAACACCTACAAGACAGAAAAAGCACTAGAGCTAGGCAGCAATATTATGAATCGAGGGATAGAACTCTTACTCTGGGTTAGATGTTCAGACCTGAGTTCTGTAAATAAATTCCAGCATCAGCTAATGAACCCTTATCGGACATGTACTATCATTCATCAACAACTATTATATTAATCCGCAACTAATTTGATAATCCGTTAATCGGTTTGAGCAATTTTTAAAGAAGAAGACGGTCAAAATATTTTAATTCTAGCTCCTTCAATGTAAATATTTTCTGGTTTGTTTCGTTCTCTGTGACAGTAAACTGCCTATCTTCGGGTTGTGGACAAAACAAGACATTTTAGGACACCATCTTGGGCTTTGGGAAACTGATCAGCTGAACATTTTTCACCTTTTTCTGACATTTTATATCCCAAACAACTATTAACAATCGAGAAAATAATCAACAGATTAATTGAAGATATGGTGGAGACCAAGGACATGACCACAAATACTGATATACTTAATATCTTGTAAAACAATTTGAGTCTGCTGGCAAAGTATTATTTACACAAATGTAGATCTCTTCCTGTTTTTGAAGCATTTAAAAATGAATTAATAATATAATTGTATTTTAAATAATCCCCCCTCACACACTTTTACAAGACACATTAATAAGACAGCCTATGCTTTTTCAAATAATTTATTTTGATTATTTTATTACCTAAAAATATTTGCTTTTATCAGTATTTGTGGCGGTCATGATCTCAGATCAGGTGTAATGAACCAATATCATGTTCTAAACATGTCTGTTTAAACTTAATTATTAGATAAAATGGGAGAAAAGATAAATATAAAAAAAATAAATCTAAAATAATATATTTTTTTTTACATTTCACTGGTGTAAACAGACGCACACTGGCGTTGTAGCTGCAGTAAAAGATGCATTCAGGCATGGAGGTGCATCGAGTGGCAACATTCAAATGCCAGCTGACGATATAAAACTACATTAAAACACTGAGCGACAGGGGAAAAGAGACTGATAATAACCTCATTAGCTTTCCACGTTCCATATGACTGATCATGCAGATTGTGTTTTCTTTAATGATATTGTTTCTGTGGTGGCAAAGATGTTACTAGCAGAAACTCCGTGGAGCCTATTTATTTTTAAAGTGCAACGACCGATGGGGAAACACATATTATATTCTGCTGTCAAACACATGGACTCACCTGTAGCACGTGTTGTCAGAGCAGGGATCGTGCACCCGTACGATGATGAAGACATGCTGAAAGTGAGAGCGGATGGCCTTGGGGGTGAAGGGGTGAGCGCCGGGCTCCTGGAACACGATGGTCACTATGTCGTTCCCTATGTGGCGCTTCCTAAGCAACTATTGAAAAACGGAACAGTGTTAATTAGAGAAGTATGGGACTATATCAATCATGTTAAGTTCCATTTAATGACAAAACCACGGCACTTGGAAACAATACGTTTCTTTAGAATGAAAGTTGGATGAGAGTCAAATCTGATAACAGAGCCGTGAGTCATATCATGCATTCCTCTAAATGACACGCACTTCCTTTAAGGTTTTCTTTGCTCCATCTGTTTCCAAAACAAAAGAGTTTTCCATTTCCTGATATATACCTAATGGTATACCACAGAGGCTGGGCTCTACATTTTTACCTGCTGTTTGTTGTTGGGTGTGTAAGGCAGCAGAGTCGACACATGGAACATGATCTCGTAGTCCTTGTAAGTCGTGTACAGGGAGTGAGTACCCGTGGAATCCGCTGTGGGGAAAAAAAGCAATACAGCGTTGAGGCCCGTTGCACAATTACAGCCATCCATCTCTCTCACATGTGCATTCTGTGCGCTCAGTGGTTTCTGTGCAAGACAGGATGCAATTTCACCGCAGTCCAAACAACCAGACAATAGCGGACTGTGGATCGATGTCAGCCTGGGTGAGACCACTGTCAAAACCAATGCTCCATCAACTGTGCGTCAACCTGTAAGTGAAGCCTATTCTATTGTTCTGTGTCATTAGTTTTCATAACAATGTGCACTGTCTAAACGTTTAAATAATTTTGATTCAGTGTTCCTTTGTGGACAACACAGCCGTAAACCATAAATTATAAACAATCACAGCACTGTGCACTCATTAGCATCACTGTGGGAATATTGTAGTGGACAGACAAGGGAAATGAGTTGAAAAGAAAAGTGAAAGTGTCATAAGGACAAAATTAGATCCAGTGAAAGGAAATATTTGACCGAAAGCACGGAAAAGGAGCAAAGTACAAGCACTACAAGTATAGTGCAATATAATACTACAGTAAAACTAATGCCTACTATACACTAGAAGACTTTGAAAAGACATCTTCTCACATCTACATACAATATATAGGCCAACTTAAGACAGTTCACACTGAGTTTAATGACTATCTTACAGTAAACGATCAAGATCGCAGAAACGCCATGACTCTGGCAAAACTCTCACGATTTTATGCCGACATTAGAAATTTGTCTGCGACATTTATATCACTAAAAAGTTGTTTAGTGTGAGGCCGACATAACTAATAAACAGTTGAGGTCACGGGGTAGAAAACCAAAAAAAAATTACATCTACAGTCTTCTATGTGACAAAGCAGCAAGTCACCTGTAAGAACTGGGTGTTGTAAAGAAGCATCATAACCTGGGTCACTAATGCTGCATTCACATGAAATCAGGCAGACGGTAGACAGCAATCTGGGTATCATTGTAGTGGAAGGACGGTAAAGTTAGGTGAGGCCGGCAGAGAATACTGCCGATAGTAACAGTAGACGACACGTGTTGAAATATTAATAGTTAAAGTTTTCCCAAGCCGAAAGCGTTTTCTGTCTGAAGTCTGCCCGACTACATGAGATCACAGCATAAGAATAAAAGCACAAATTCTGTCTGTGTGTGTGATGTGAAGGTGCGTAGTTACTTTTCGTGTCCAGCTGGGCTCTGTACTTGGTGAAGCCCTTGAGGCGAACCTTCTCCCCCAACAGTTGGAGGAACTCTTCCAGGGCGGGACCTGCCGTCTCGTTATTGTACATCTCCTCCTCTGTGCTCTGGCCTGCTCGGCAATACATCACCCCCACCTTCACCTGAAAACTCAGCTGGGGGACAGCAGAGAAACACACTCAATATTTCTCTGACAGGTCACCTCAGGACAGAGAGGATAATGTAAACTCACAGAACCCCTATGCTTCCCCCTCCTACCCCTTGTTCATCCAGTTTCATCAGCTGCTCAGTGACTTTGGGTGTGTTGAGGGCCAGTCTGAGGCAGGACAGATCCAGCTCAGGGAGAACGAACTCCAGCACCTCCTTGATGGGCACCCCCCGGGTGGTGCCGTGCTTAGAGGTGGAAGGCACTGCGTCCTCCAGGACAGAGCCTCGCAGCGTGGTCAGCTGCATGGAGAAAGAGATTATAGAGAGGAGTGTGAGACGAGAAAGAATGCACCTCAGGAATCTGAGCGTGCTTTGAACTCTCTCTTGGAGATGGAACATACTGATAACAAACATGCCTGGCCAGACACCAAGTAAAAAGAGACAAGTCGCTGCAGTTTTTAAAGTAGAACCATCCTCTTACTGTAACTCTGAAGAAAGGGACATGAAACAAGACAATTATGACACAAGGCTTTGGGTAAACAGAAAGTGGAACTGAAGAAAGAGAGGTGGGCGGGCTTGTCCGAGCATTCTGTGTACACAAAGTCTGCATTGTGCTGGGCTCTGGGAGTGAACTCAATCACTCGGCTATCATAAGCAGCTGGAACGGACTGAGACTTTCTCTCCTACGAGACCGAGGCTGTGCAGGGCCTGTTTTTACAATGGACCTGTGTTCCCCATGTTTGGAAGGTAGGGTAAGGGGCGGGGGTCCTGCGGTACTTTAGTGTGGGGGTTTAATCACATGCACCTGTCCTACTTCAATCCACAACAAACAGCTTCAGGCTGCTTTACCCTCTGTCTGGGAATGTACGTCCACATAATACATCCCACAACCCAAATGTTAAAGCAAGAATCCCCAAACCAAACACACAACTGGGAGCCAACATTGTAACTAAATATGACAGTCTATTTTTACTGAAACACTCTCCACTCAGTGGTTTGAGGTTGTTGGGCACCGACAGGCCTCGGAGGCTGGGAGATGAGCGCACTTCCTCAAGTTTCTTCACACATTGCTGATATTGGGAGACAGCTGAATGGCCCCAGGGCAGGTTGTATAATATGAGGCAAGGAGCGGTTTTACCTCGAGCTGGTCTTCCTAGCATGTAGCAGGCATGCTACATGCTACTTCTATGGAGGAGACCGGGGTTGGTTGGCACAGTTTTCACTCTCTGCTGTACGTCCCTGATATAATCAATGTTAGAATATTCTAACCAGTAGCAAATGAAAGGTTTAGGTCTAAGCTATAAATAAATATGTTTCAATGTACACAAATGTTTACTAATATTAGGTGATTTGCAGAGGTGGGACCTCCAAGTCAACATTTTGCAAGTCAAAAGTAAGTATCAAGTCATTGCACTCAAGTCCCAAGTCCTAAACTTTGAGTTTCAAGTCTTAAACAACTCATTGTGTTCTTTACCAAATGTAATGTCATTTAACAACAAAGTAATAAGAAACTAAATTTGCAAAATTCATTAATGCTTTTTCAAATTTGAATGTTTTTGTTAAAACAAGCTCGTTAAAATAAATGTGACTGCACTTTCATAGCATGTTAACTAGCACCACAAGAGAGTAAATTTTGGATGTGTCTGTCCGGTCTTGTTGGATTTAACTCGTCTAATATTATTTCTAGAACTTTCTCTTTCCAAATCTGTAGGACACCTCCTGTAAGACTTAGCGAGATGTTGCAGACTGTGTTGTTGGATGTTCATATTTTACATGTTAATTAAATACAGAAGATTAGCGTTAATGTTTGTTAATTCAGGAAATAAACTGAAATTAATTGTATGTGGCACACTGTTTAAACAACATACTTTTTCATCTTTGGGATTAGGGGAAGATATCAAGTGTTTAAAGTCAAAAGGCTGAAGTCCAGGTGAAGTCACGAGTCAGCGGTGTTAAAGTCTAAGTTGAACTGCAAGTCTTTTTTTGTTAAGTCGAGCCTAAAGTCATCAAATTTTTGACTTGAGTCTGACTGGAGTCCTGGTCATGTGACTTGCATCCACATCTCTGGTGATTTGTGATTACACTCACGTTGTGCACATTATGGGGTTGGTTGGCACAGTGTTAAAATGCTACTGTTACAAAATAAATGAAGCAATCAATAGAAACAATTTGAACATTTAATCCAAAAAAGAACCAGAAACACAATCATTTAATAGAATATCTACCCATTTTTAAGCAATCTATCCATGGGGTTGTCTAATTATTTTTGCCATTGACCATTCAAAATAATTAACTAATATAAATGTTGTTTTTAAACTTTCAAAAATAATTTTAGTCTCTCAAAATAAAGTGGCACAACTAGTAATTCTACTATTGGTTGACCCAACAAACAGTGTGCCATCCGACCTCGCTCACATTGGACCTAACGTTGTGATGAAATCATGTTAGCCAGCTACCATCACTCATCACAGACTTTCAACTCTTAAATCAAAGTGTAGGTGATTCCAGGAATGTAGGTTATTGGGTGGGACAAATGCATTTTTAAATACTGAAGGGGGCGTATCCTGTCACATTTCTGTGACCCCCAAAGGACCTGAAAATAGCTGTGTGCCAACCAGCCCTGGTGTCCCCTACATAAGAGTATAAAAGGTATACTATAAACTGGGTATGAGATCCAAGCGAGCACCAAACACAAATTAGTGTTTTCACTCACAGTCAACCAAAACACTTCCCTCAACTTTCCCAAATCTGTGAGTGTAAAAATAATAATGGGCTGCATCGTTAAATGCTGTGGGCAGATTCACAGCAGAAGGACTGATGTGTGTGGTGCTGAGGTTGAGGTTGGAGTGTAGGAAGGGTTGCTGACCTCGCTGGTTCTGAAGATGAGACGGTAGTTATACTGCTGCCCGTGCTCCTTGTCCTCCTCCAGCTTCTCCCTGCGCAAGCTCACCGCCACTGGACCCAGCACCTCGTCCATCCCAAAATAGTTCCAGTGCTCTGAGGGGAAAGAAGTGGCAGAGGAACATTAAAAAACATCTGCTGGGGGAATATTGAACATTTACTTCTTTAAACAACACACATCCACATGCTAATGAGCACATAATGAAAGCAGTTAAATTAATCTTACCCCTAAGGTAGAAGAACTTCCTGTAGTAGTAGGCTCCCAGGTCCACATGCTCCACAATGTACTGTTTGCCCTTTTCGCTGAGCGTGCTGGGGCCTTCCTTTGGTCCCTCTAGCACGGCTACCCCGGCATTAGTGCAGTTCGTGCTCACAGATGTTTCGTACAAGTTTCCGTCCCCACTCAGGGTCCCTGAGCCACCACTACCTGCTCCATGATACCCTGCTCCTAATCTGCGCCTCCCAATGCTATCACCACCTATCTCATTGCGGAAGCAGGGGCAACTTAGCAGCATTTCATTACTCTGTTCTTCCCCCGCGTCTGGACCAGGACTGTCCCTAGAACTGAGTTCCTCCTGTCTGCCGCTCGGGGAGCTGTAAGGCAGGCTGTGTGTGGACGAGAGGGTGGAGGTAGCCGAGGCTACAGCAGCGGCAGATGCCCCCGTGGTGGTGTTTTTCCTCTTGCCTGCAATCTGCCGCAACTGAGTGACTTCGTTGAGGTCGAACAGCATGCTTTGAACATCGTAGTGGGCGAAGCTCTTCTGACACACCCAGGGTTTGAAAGGGAGGGCATTGTCCTCTGTCCGGCTGTCCTCTACGTCAGACCCCGCTCTAGGGGAATCCGACTCACCCCTCACGTTCCGAAGTTTACGGAATATAGACTCACCCCCTGTCTCAGATTTAGTCCGTCTCTTTGGGGGTTTATCTCTGGCTTTAGGAGGCTGGCCGTCTACGACATCCTCTTGAACATCAGTGCTGGCCTGCTTGGACCCAACATTCAGCATGTCCTCCAGTTTCTCTGGAGCGGGGCTACGCTGGTCAACTTTGTCCCCTTGATAGTCCTTCAGCATTTCAAAGAAGCTCTCCCCAGCCGCTCCATGCTGATCTATTGAGGAGGTGCTACCGTATTCACGATGAAGAGGAGACCACTTGGCTCCCGATGCCGGACCCCAGTCCTCTCCGCTGTCTCCACTGCCTTCCATCTCACTGATAGTCATGTCACTGTTGCTGCGCTGCCGGATGCGTCTCTGTCGTGGGTTTCTATGTGCAGGGCCTCGGTAGTCTCCTGGGGCTAGGTAACGGGTGTCAGGGCTGTAATTGTTGGCCTGGGTCTGGGTTCGATTCTTCAGAGTATTGTGAATGTTTCGCAGCATTGACGAGTCCTGAGGGCTCATTACAGAGCCTAACTTAATGTGACTTTTTACAGCAGGAGGCACACTAGAGTTCTCAGGCTCTGTTGCTGAGTGCCACACAACCCCTGCAAAGTCTTTTCTTGGGGGCCAGTCAGCCACCCGAGCCCGTACACCCATTTTAGGCACTCCTGTGCTCACAGTGGCATGGACATTGTCTGTGCGGGTCGGCACAGCCCCTCCATTGACAATACGGAGGTGGCGGGTGTAAAACTCATCAGTGGCGGGGATGGTACCCCCAACGGTGCGCTCCATGGGTGGGCGCTTCAGGCTGGTCATGACACCAGTGCAAAAGATTAAAGGCACTTAGCAGGGGGACATGGCTGCCTCTGGGATGGTATGCTGCTCCCTGACTTCATGAGCAGGTTGATTGTCTGGATCAACAAGTGAGGAGGCAGAAAATGGGAAGGGGCAAGCCCAGGTCTTCAGAGTTCAAGCCTGCATACTGCTTTCTCGACACTGCTGCTTGGCATTTGTCTTATTCCAGATTATCCTGGAAAGAAAAGAAAAATCAGTTAGTACAAACAGTGAAAGTCTGGAGAGAAGATAATCACAAACACATCTGTTTCCTGACTCACACCACCTTCCCTCACATATATTAGACTGGAAACCAAGCCGGGCAGCAGGTCTTAAATTAATAAGTTGTTGAAATAGGATCCTTAGTATTGGAAAACCAGATGACTTTACACTTGATTAGCTGTGATTAGTGCCCTGTTACACTCTCCTCGACATGGGAGAAAGCACAGTGGTAATTACATTCTCACTTCTTAAGTTAAGCAAGAACTAAAAGAACTGCTTTCTGTCTTCATACAACAGGGCGTCTTTTCATGCAGCCTTTCTTATGAAAATGTGTGAGGACATCTTCACAAATATGCAAATGTTTCCCCTGTAGAAAGTGAGAGAGATGTATATGGAATCCACAAACCTGCCTGTTAGTTTTTTTTCTCGTGTGATGGCTTTTTATGAGTCAATGAAAAGTCATTGATATGTTCAATTTCAGATAAGGGGGCCTACTTTTCAAACCAGATTCAGCATCGAGGGGAAACATGAACGCTTAGACAAATTCAAATGAGTTATAACAATGTGTGTGTTATTTTTTTTCTCGAAATGCCTTTGCCTTAATCAGTTTATATATCCAAAGAGAACGGTAAAGAGGACTTACAGTAGTTAATAATTTAATAAACCTGTTCAGGATTCATCGATTCTTGGCTTGTGACTCGTCTGACGCCTCTTTGCATGTCCTTTTAGTAGCTAACATTACTGAATTGTAATGCCGAGTTTCAGGGGTTTTTTTTTATCCAATATTCCAAGCTGCACATCAAATAGCAAAAGGGGCCCTTTGAAAGTCATCTGAGAAGTGGGTGATGATCCTCTGCCTGACAAATCGGGCCAATTTGGCAGTGAGACACTGGGAGAGATTAAGGCTCCACTTTCAGTCAGCCCTGCCTGGCTGTGGCTGTGATCACATTAGCCACTAGCAATCAGTGCACTGTGACAGGCCTACAGCACCGTCACCTTCACACTGCATCCCAGCATCCGGGCCAACTTCATGCTGTAATGAAGACATTCACCTTTGCTTTAAAATAAGGATAGACCGATACATCGGCCGGCCGATATATCGGGCCGATATTTGAGTTTTTTTACTTGTATCGGCATTGGCCGATACGCGCGTGGGTTCGCGGATTTATTTTTCCCTGGCATGATTTACAGACAGGCATCCACGGGCAGCTCTGTGTTGCCGGAAGACCCTGCAGCGCACATGCAGCGAATCCTACTGTGTACAGTAGTTGTTGTTTTATTTATGCTTCAGCTTAAATATTTGTTTATTTTATAAAGACATTACTGGAAGATTTAAGAGCACTGAACTCTTTTTTTTATTTGAATGTATAATAATAATAATAATAATAATAATATTCTACCTGTTCTACCTCAACTTTCCATCTTGTTTTAGTATTTTTTACTGTTCAATAAATGTTTCTTATTTTAAACTTGAGACCTGTAATATTTGTTATCATTGTGTCATTTTTTTTATGTAAATTGAGGAAGCAAAAGCAGTATTGGCCCCAAATATCAGCTCAAGAAAATTGGCAGTCCATAATCGGTCATCGGCTAAGGGTGATGGAAAAAAAATCGGTATCGGCATCGGCCCTAAAAAATCCATATCGGTCTATCTCTAATATTAGTCATGCATGCTTCCTAAAATAATTAGATCACTAAACTGTAAGTGCAACTTAACATAACTACAACCGTCATAGTGTTACTGCATGATGATTTAAAAAAAACGGATTAGCCGTAAATCAATGGTCCAGTGTGTAGGATTTAGGGGATATGTAGGCAGAAATGGCATATAATAGAATAAGTATATTCGGATCCTTAAACACAGAGATCACCATGTTGCACCGCTATGCTTCTACAGTAGCCCCAAACGGACAAACCAAACAGGTTCTAGATAGGGCCATTTACATTTTCATGTAGGCCATCATAGTTAGCAGCCCTTTAGCGGTGAGACAAACAGCTTTGGAAAAACACTGATTTACTGCATGAAACTGTTCTATTCAGTGTTTTTACCGGTTTAAATCACCAGGTCTGTTGGTTTTGAAGAACAAGAGACCTCTGTGGATAATGAGCCCCCAATATAAACCTCCTGAGCTCCTGGATCTTTAGTTGTCAGAGAGAAAAGGTGAGTACACATTAGCAGGTGGTAGGCTATCTGCAGCAAGCTACACAGCATCAGAGCAACACTGATTTGTAATATTAAACTGCTTTATTCAGTGTTTTTACTGGTTTAAGTTGTCGGGTCCATTTGTTTTAGAAAGGAAGAGACCTGTGTGGATAATTCAGCTTGAGTAGATCCTCACATTAAGTTATCAGAGATTGCTTTAAACAATAAAAGCAATCAAAGGCATAGATGATATGTATAACAGGAATACATAATACCATGTGAACAACAACATCAGCGCAGTGGCACAGTCAACTGAGAGACGGGTCAAATATTCCCAAGACAATGCAGTTCGTTTGATAATAAAAACATCGATTTACAAGTCAGCAAAAAAGCACAAGTGCAAAATCTCAAGGCTGTAAAGATGATTCAGTTCTCAGAGTGCCTGAGGCAAAGCGTCCCCAGTCAGCCTTTCTTCAAAACACAGGAGTGTTTTCTGACAACAAACCTCTAAACCTGTGCACATATTGCAGCAGAGACCCCTTCTGTTAGTCCACTATCAAGCAAAAAGCAAGCAGCATAAAGACTAACAGGCATAATTCCTGTTCTGGTCAAGCAGTGTGTTGAAGTGCGAGTAAAATAATGTGTCTACATGATTCAACATTTCAGAATCAAAAGCCAAAATCAGAGCAAAATTCTTTGCACAAGACCATCATATGAAATGGGCTGGACAATTTTCAGATTCAGACCCAGCATGCAACAGCTTCATGGTTACATGATAGAAAATCGTCGGCCGGAGGAAATTCAAAAAGGATGACAGAAACATATTGTAACTGTGATCTTTTAATCTGTCACATACAGAAGGTCCCAACTATACACTCCTCTAATGAATGGGCATCAACTCTTTGGGGCATGGGAGTAGACTAAGTGTCTGGAGCAGATTAATAGAAAACTCATTAATAAATTTCCACACACAAAAAAAAAACTCATTCATGTCCTACTAACACCCTAATTTCATGACATGAATAAGAGTGAAAATAGTCGTGGGAGTGTACGTTAAACTGCAGGTCCAGTCCCATGTTGCAGAGCATCCACAGGGACAGACAGAAGTAGAGGAGCAACACACACAAAATGCACACACACACACACACGTCCCAGAAAACAGGCCACTAATCTCCTCGCTGACGGACGCGCAGGCAGATGACTGGCTTCATGGTCTTGTCAGATTAAAAGGAAGCAGTGCGGCATAGAGAGTGAGGGAGAGTGTCTTGTGGACGTTTGCAAGAGACAGTCAGAGACCCCACAACATAACGCAGTGTCCTTCCAACTCACCTTGCCTCTGGTATCAACCCCCTGCAGAATTAAACAGATTGTTTTTTCCACAACTCTACAGGACATGTCCAAACAGCTTGAGCCTGTCCACTAAATGAGGTTAACGTCCTGTAATTGGGGCGCTGACCTTCCAGCTGGTCTGTCAGGCTCGTCGAGAGATGAGCAAAGCGGTGGTACAGATGCAGATGACGGGGTGCTGATGTCACGCCACACCTCTGCGCTGCTACAATTTGTTGTTCCGGTTGTAGGGACGAGTCTAGACACAGCGGACTGCACTCTGATAGAGCAACATGCCCCTATAAAGACTCAGCCTGCGGGTGACTCAGACAGTGGGCCTTCAGTACACGCATATTTCATGGAATTAAAGGTGGGTGACAGACAGCAGTCAGTCAGCAGAATGAGCTGCGATGAGTCACAAACATGAACCTAGGGTCTGAGTATTTAAAATCTGACTCGTAAAAATCAGAGCAATTCAGGCAAAGAGCTGAGTCATCATTAAAACACACCATGGGATGCCAGACACTCTCAAAGCCAGGGCCTGCTAGAGCGTGTATCCCTGTTGCTGAGCTGGCTGGGCTAGCTGGTGTCCCCAAGAGAAAGGACAGCATGCTGGAGTTGAAAGACTGTCCGTCCTGGGTCTCCAGACAGAGAGGGAATGAAGTTTCCCAGTGGACTGGGCAAGTGTTTCCAAAGCTGGGACAAAGGAGCCGAAGGATTGCCCTACAAGCTTGTAATTACTGCGTGCTTGAATGGGGCTAAGGAGCTGTTTGGCTGACACCATTGGCTTTCAAACAGGCACCCTACCATTTAGCCTATTGGCTCGCCCTGTCCCCTAATCTTCCCCTGCTCTAAGGGCTGACTGGGCTGTTGGGCAGCAGGCACAAAGGTCCCTCTGTACTGGGCAAGACTGGGGCCCCATTCCAACATAGTGAAGTCTTTGAAAACTGCCTGGCACGGGAACCTCAGTGTGGCTGTGTATATGAGTCCTGCCAGGAAAACCAAATGAATGAGATGCAAGGGCAACTGTAGAAACAGAGATGGAGCAAACACTGAACCAGAATTTGGAAACAAGGGAAGAATCAAAGAACTAGAAGGATACGTTCACGATGAGCACAGGAAGGCAGAGGACGGGCTCACCTGGACAGAAACATAGCAACAACGTGTGGTTGGGCAATATGTTAAAAAACTGCCACTGGCCATTCTCAGCTCGACAACCAGCAATTGCATACATATTTGCACATGTGTGTGTGAGTGTGTGGTTGATCCACCACAATCTGCCACTCAGTCAGAAACACAGCCTCCAGTTGGTCGACAAGTCAGGAACACAGACTCTAAAGTTAACAAACTCAACCCAAGGCATCATGGACAACTGACAACAACAATAACTATTTTCCACACATATAAATAATCACAGCAGACATTCAGTGTCAGATTTATCATTATGGATGTATTTTACAAAGTCTCCAAACAGATACTGCAGTTTATGGCTGGATTTCAAACCT